TCTTAATGATCCGGATTCTCTTTAGTGAAAACTATCCAGGATAATAAATCCTATGTGACGATAATGAGAATCACATAAAAAAGGGGGAAAATATTTTATGAGACCAAGAAAAAAATCAAATTGAAAATAGGACATTACACATAACGTTAAATTCTACTTCTTGTTAAGAAAGACCGTTAAACAGCGTTATACTTGCTAGACATGACCTAAACCTGATTTTATAAGCAAACCGAAGGATTTCTACTGCAACAAAACAAACTAGCGATTAATAAGATAATTCCCTTCATTATGCACAATATAGATATATAAATAATCACGCAGTGGTGTAGAATCTCGAATCTCACAGCATAATTCTGGCGCTCCCTCCCCTACCCGACCACGATATGACATAACCTAAATTAAATACTTAGGGTATATTGAGGATTTGGAATATCCCATTGTAATACTCTGGGGTATGCTAGGATTAGGAGCATCTTTGAGTAATTTTTAAATACTCTGAATATACAGAGAGTTTGGAATCTAAAATTTGGCGGAGTAATTCGGGTATACCTGGAATAAGGAATCTCCTCCGTAAAGTAATACCACGTAATACCAGGGATATCTGATCTCCCACGTACAGTAATACCAAGGGTATCTCATCTCACACGTACAGTAATACCAGGGGTATCTCATCTCCCACGTACAGTAATACCAGGGGTATCTCATCTCCCACGTACAGTAATACCAGGGGTATCCCATCTCCCACCTACAGTAATACCAGGGGTATCTCATCTCCCACGTACAGTAATACCAGGGGTATCTCATCTCCCACGTACAGTAATACCAGGGGTATCTCATCTCCCACGTACAGTAATACCAGGGATATATCGTCTCCCACGTACAGTAATACCAGGGGTATCTCATCTCCCACTTACAGTAATACCAGGGATATCTCATCTCCCACCTACAGTAATACCAGGGGTATCTCATCTCCCACCTACAGTAATACCAGGGGTATCTCATCTCCCACCTACAGTAATACCAGGGGTATCCCATCTCCCACCTACAGTAACACCAGGGGTATCTCATCTCCCACGTACAGTAATACCAGGGGTATCGCATCTCCCACGTACAGTAATACCAGGGGTATCTCATCTCCCACCTACAGTAATACCAGGGGTATCTCATCTCCCACGTACAGTAACACCAGGGATATCTCATCTCCCACGTACAGTAATACCAGGGGTATCTCATCTCCCACCTACAGTAATACCAGGGATATCTCATCTCCCACCTACAGTAATACCAGAGGTATCTCATCTCCCACCTACAGTAATACCAGGGGTATCCCATCTCCCACCTACAGTAATACCAGGGGTATCGCATCTCCCACGTACAGTAATTCCAGGGGTATATCACCTCCCACGTATAGTAATACCAGGGGTATCTCATCTCCCACGTAAAGTAATACCAGGGATATCTCATCTCCCAAGTACAGTAATACCAGGGGTATCTCATCTCCCACCTACAGTAATACCAGGGGTATCCCATCTTCCACCTACAGTAATACCAGGGGTATCTCATCTTCCACGTAAAGTAATACCAGGGATATCTCATCTCCCACCTACAGTAATACCAGGGGTATCTTATCATTTAAATGGTATGCGAAGGTAATGGGAGAATATGCTGTAACGTCTCCCGAAAGTAACAATTTCATTGACAAGAGAATGTATTTCTCAACATATCTTACCCTACGTTAAAGCAGTACACAAAAACATTCCTAAAATCCAAAACTATATTTCCTATGAAGGTACAAGTGACAGATGAGGTGCACGGTATCTAAAACAGAAACCTTAAGACTGTCTTCTTTACATGTACTTGTTTACATATACCAGTCTTACACTTTACAAGACATCCTATTCGGAAAACACACCGAAGCTTTGTGGAGACTTGAACCGTAAACATTCTAAGCAGTATTTACCTAAACAGTACAGAATATGATAGATACTAATACAAATGTAAGTTGTTTTTTTAACTGATATAACTTTAAGTAACGCTGTTGTTGTGGCACTAGGTAGCACATGTCAAGGTAAACAAATGTCCTATTAACAGCTAATCTAACGTAAAAACAACAGCTAATAACACAATTCACTGTTCATTTATATAATAAATAAGATTGGAAACAAAGGATTAGTTTAATTTACACGTAATGAGGAGAGGTCCACCACAGTGGTGTTTGTAATTGCTATCTGTTTCCTGCTAGATGAATTCCCACATATATTTTTTCTTTGATGACAAGTCTGTTGATTGTAGTCGTGCCGTTTTACCAATAACCTCGTTTGTAATGAATGACGCTAAATAGCAAAACTAGAAATCTTTCTATCTGCTTTCTATTCTGATTTACATTACAGAAATCTAGCGCGTGGTGAACATTGTTATATCGAAATAAATATTAATGTTATTAATATGCGAGATGATGATGTGTTTGAGATTACAGTACTGTATTGTTGTAATAATATGTCACTTGGTTAAAGGGGTTTACCAATGGAAGATGGAAAATTTCTTTGTCAACGTAGCATGCAATGAAAAAGTCGTAAAATCGAGCAATTTTGTCACGTGATGTTTGGTATAAAAAAAAAAAACTTGTCACGAAAACGTAAACTAGTCCATTATTCCACAGTACATTACTTACAATATACATCGTAAAATGTATGGTACACCGGAATTATAGTGACACAAACAAAGATGTAAAACTGTACAGAACCTGGAATGAATGTGTTTCGTTTTCCTCGTTATACCAGGGGGGATAACTCTAACATGTTATACATAACGATATTTATTGCAGTAACATCACTTTTCATGCACATAGTTTACGACTGAACAATATTCTTACATGGCATCAAGACAAATACACTTTTCTATCACATCAGCCAACATAATAAAAAAAATCTCTCATTTTTTTCTTAAACAGATGTTCCCTTCTTTCCAAGCATCGTAAAAATATACACAGAAACATGAGGCTGTGAAGGACAATTTTGGTGGCGACCGACGAAATGATTGCAGGGGTTTGTCATTCATCGTAGAAATGTTCGTAAACAAAGTATACATCCTTAATTAAGTCATAATTATCTTAATTAATTAAATGTGAAATTTAAATGTCGATACAAATGAAAATTATAGACATGACAAAACAGCATTAAAATATAAATATGTATACCCCTTTTAGTATGATCATCTTGCTACATGTAAGACGAAACGATATTTGCTTTAATTATAATTATAAACAAAACACATCAATATTCAAACTAAATCTTAGACTAAAACTTTTTGTTATTCAACTACTGATATTACTCTTTACTAACTAATTTTCTCGTAATTTTAAGACAATCGTTTAGATAAAATGTTAATTCGACTATTTACATCGTTTTCAAATTTCGAATGACCCAAATACGTTTCCATACGCGCCATACCCACAGCACAATGTAACAAATCAGAGACGTATGATTCTAAATGATGGACGTTGGTATAATGTACAAATACAATATTTGGGACGGTCTCGATACAATGCAAAAGTGGTGCCTTCCTCCAAATCTGAGAATCTTTACATAACAACCCTACACATTGATGTCTTCTAGTTAATTCAATATCTCTACAAAATACACATGAACAGTGGTGTCTTCCAGCAACTACAAAACTTCTACACAATACTCACAAAAAGTTTGTCTTCCAGAAAATACTAAACTTCTACACAAAACCTCTAAAGAGTGGTGTTTTCCAGCGACTACAAAACCTCTACACAAAACCCCTATACAGTACTGTCTTCCTCCAAATCTGAGATTCTTTACATAACAACCCTACACATTGATGTCTTCCAATAAATTCGATATCTCTTCACAATACACCCAGACAGTGGTGTCTTCCAGCAACTACAAAACCTTTACACAATACTCACAAAAAATCGTTTTTACCAGAAAATACAAAATCTATGTTCAGCAACTACACACTCTCTACACAGTACCCCCTAAAGAGCGGTCTTTTCAAGCTAACACAGAATCTTTACAAAATATCCTCCAAACAGTGGTGTCTTTCTCAACTTTAGAATTTCTTTTGTAGCGAAACCTTGTTTGAATTATTTCTTTGTTAAAAATAAAATATTACTTAACATTTTATACAACGTGCAGTCTGAGATATGAAGAAAATAGACCCTGAATCAATGGCAGAAAATCTGGAGATTACTGACATTGAAACATGTGATTTTCAAATTCATATGTATTTGGTCACTGTCGACAAAATGGCGCTGGTCGAGCCGGCCAGTTCTAAGTAAACACTCAGTGTCGACAAAATGGTGTTGGCCAGGCCGGTCAGTGCTAATAAAACACTCAGTTGTCGACAAAATGGCGCTGGTCGGACCGGTCAGTTCTAGGTAAACATTAACTACGGCCTAATGAAACGAATAGTGTATAGGGAGATATGATAGGATAATAACTGTAAAGACTGTAAAGACAGGAGGGCACTTCTTACTTCAATTGTCATAATCCCTAAATAGCAGTGACCACCTCCCATCTTAATCAAAACATCTTTAAATAAATACCCCCTCCCCGCCCCCAAACATCGACGACTTCCTCCAAATCAAGGTATATCTACCAACACGATAACACCCCACACCTCCTGGAATAGTTGTGACTTCTTTCAATTCAAAATAATTTAAAAAAAACTGTCAGTTAAAAATGTTTATCGTGTTTCGCGAATTCTTTTAAAATGATCGGTAGAACTCTAACACTAATGCTTATCAAGATACGTTCATTGTACGAACTCATTCAGATTTTGGAGGAACGGACCACTTCCAAAATGACATGTTCACCTAAATTATGTTCACAAACATTTGGATGAAGATATAAATGCTGATGAAAATACAAAATGGGCCAGTGTGAGACAAATGATAAATGGAGACCCGTTTATTTGTTCGAAGAATTATTATTTCTAAGGCAACTTCATTGTAATGACATATAAAAACGTATTTTCTATATAATTCTGTTGGACATTGGAACGCCGTTATGTTGTAGAATCTTCTTTATCCTCCTTCTGCTCTTACAGTACCCTATAGAGAACAGAATAGTCAGCACAGACAACCCGATGCATGACGCAATCAGCGCCCATGAATTGGCGCTACTAATGACGTAATCCCGGGACATAAGTTCTCCCTTGGCAACCAGCTTATTGGCATACCTTTGGCGGTATAGCTCGGGAACTTTTTCGTTCCAAAATGACAACTTTGAAGGTTTCAGTTTCATGTCCATTTCAATGTGAGGTCTATGGTTACCTGTGGTAATTCTGGCAAAGGTTGGTCTGTTGACGGTGTATCTGTCTATATAGAACTGATTGTGTGGAATCAAAGACGGAAGTCTGTAAACAGAATTATACAATATCTGCAGAGTTATTTGTAAACAAAATTATACAATATTTGTAGAGTTGTTTGTAAACAGAATTATACAATATTTGTAGAATTATTTGTAAACAAAATTATACAATACACAAAATTATACAAGATTTTATTATTTGTAAACAAGATTATACCATATCTGTAGAGTTATTTGTAAACAAAATTACACAATATTTGTAGAGTTATTTGTAAATAAAAGTATACAATAAATGTTGAGTTATTTCAAACTACAATATATATGTACATAACCTTGAATCGTCAGGAACTTTATCAAAATACAACTTAAATTCACTGTTTTCAAGCAATGCTACAAAAATGGACAGACATTGACTGAAAAACTTCAGAATAAAATAAAACGTTACCCGTTTCGCGCAAAACTTGACCAAAGATACAGCAACGTTTCCGACATTTTCCGGTCACTTTCGCTGTACCGGAAGTTTGCATGACCTGACATAGGGAAACCTGATAGGTAGAACAGCTCTGCTCCATGAATTACTCCTAAAAAATATCAACAAAATATTGCTTACCTAGACATCGATTTTATCAAAATACTTAAAAGATCGCTTAAAACAATATTTCATGTTTAGGCCTAAATGGATAGAAGGGGTTTTTGTCGTTAAATGTTTCTATATTAACGAAGTAATTCTGAAATAATTGCTGTTTTTTGGGGTTTTTTTTTGAAAATATATTTAATTACTTTATTTTTACATGCAAGTCTGGTAATTATGCATAATAATATTCAACATTACTAAATTCAACAATAATTCTTCGTCAGTTAGTATTTATGTACTGAAATTGAGACACCCGTGAAACAAACAACATCAATAACAAGAGATGGATGACTTATAGTCAAACCTGTAGTGTTTACCTCACACCTAATAAAACGAGGAGAATGCATAGTAAAATCAAAGACGTATAAATTGGAGGGAGAAGTAGAAAGGAGATGATGCCCCCCTCCTCTCCGCCACGCAAGTTAAAACCCAGACAAGAGGATACTCAAAATACGAAAACAACACTAATGACAAAACGGAGTAAATTTATCTTATCATGTTAGCCATCTTGTAATCTATAATCGGAAACATCTAGTATACTAATCTAAACTTTATTCGCTTATTGTACGCAGCACTCGAACTGCCTGAATCCGTTAGAATTAACGATATCGATAATGCTGTGGTTCATAGTACGACGTTTACTCTCGAATAAAAATCGGGCGTGGAACATGGAAGTTTTACATCGACGCAAACGCCTGAGGACGGTAAATACTTATCAGTCTCTCTTACAAGTATTGGTACTTATGAAGAAATGATAAAACTTATGTTTTGAATGTGATTCTTGATTATCTCAATTCCGCTTCAGACACAACAGTGATTGAACTAAGACTTGGTTTCTTTCTTGTCTAGCTGCTGGTGAGTAATAACTGTTGTAAACAGTATTTTTTTTCCATTAGTTAATTTTATCATCTGTGTTTGATAAATTCTACAAAAAATAGCAATATTCCCGTATCTGTAGCTGAAATATATAGTTAATCTCACTTTGACACATCATGATAACTCATATTGAATTGACAATGTGTTTTAGTTATTTCAACTTCTAGTTAGAACAATAATTTAACGTACACAAATACAAATTGCTTTGCTACTAATGACTCGGGGGCTGTCGGGCGATATCATATAAAAGCAGCCGACACCATTTGTGCCAGACGTAAGAGTTTGGCTTTTTTTTTTCATTTCACTTTCTGTTTTGCAACTCGCTGACGTCCTATCAAAGATCATCAATTCTATAGGACAACTCGAACCTTTGATAGCGTAACGGGTTATCACTGTCTGCACGGATTTAAACAACACTACTAGGTATAAGACAATACAACAGCGTAAAAATGCTAACATCTATTAATTTTTTCTGAAATCGTTCACAAAAGACTGAGTAGATAAAACATCTATATACAAATTTAGAGTTAGATACCGTAGATCCAAACTTTGAATCAAACCACATCATACAGCTCTTTCCAGGACTCGTTAGTGATTCTAATTGCCTAAATTTTCAAGTCTTGGAGACGACTGAGGAAAATCCTATATGATCGAAAGAAACGTCAAAATCTAAATGACGATGTGAACTAGCCCCAAAGTTAAAAAAATATCGCAAATTTCATTTCATTGATAATTATAAAATAATGTCAATAACAGTACTATTCGAATGAATTGAAACATGGCGTGCATTTACGACGAACTTCGGAGACTAAAAGTCCACAAATCTCGAAGTAATTTATCGACAATGCAGCGTAGTGGCTAAATACATGTATTCAACCATGTGGGGCCGCTGGTGAATTTTTGTCCCCAAAATGTTTGTCTTCCTGCCCTGTTGTAATTCGTCCAATATTTATAATTTATGAAAATTAAATTTGTATTACGAAGTTTATAGTGTTCCATGTTTTTATTCCAAGAAATATTTCAGTCAATTGTGACTTTTAGTATTCAGTTTCTATACTTTAGTCCTAAGATTCACAGAGAGTACTGGAAAGACGAAACAACTGTGTTATGCAGTTTAATTCATTATTCATAGTTATCAAATTTAGTTTAGATTTGTGTGGAAAACAGATATCTACTTATGCGTGTTTTGACCACTGTAAAATATGTGATCAACATTTTTTAGCTCTTTATCACGATGAACCTAACACATAAACAGATATTATTGAACCTTAATGAAATGGAGAGGGCACCAGACGTTCCGGAATGGTAAACGTCTCATGCTGACCAACATCTTACCACTGTCAAGGATTTAACTACAGGGATCAACAAGTAAAAGAAAAACGAAATAAAAAAAATTGCAAACACATATGAACGATACGAATTATAGTAAGACAAATGATGTCGACATGCATTTACAAAACTCACGTGCAATAGATTTAATCGCACACCTTTGTACTCACCGTCCCACAGCGCATACACAGACTTGTACTCGTAGTTATAGAGGTAGACCGTCGTATTGCGCTGAGACAGCAAAGAAGCTATTTTGTGTGTGGGCGCTGTTATATAATAGTCGCCGACCATCTATAAATAAAAGACCGATTACACTAAAGGAAAAACGATCTGGAATACTTCAATATTTATCTGTGAAATATTGGAAACAATGACGCGATCTGTAATATTTTTATATTTATCTGTGAAATATTGGAAACAGTGTCGCGATCTGTAATATTTTTATATTTATCTGTGAAATATTGGAAACAGTGTCGCGATCTGTAATATTTTTATATTTATCTGTGAAATATGTGAAACAGTGACGCGATCAGTAATATTTCTATATTTATCTGTGAAATATGTGAAACAGTGACGCGATCTGTAATATTTTTAATTGATCTGTGAAATATTGGAAACAGTGACGCAATCTGTAATATTTCTATATTTATCTGTGAAATATGTGAAACAGTGACGCGATCAGTAATATTTCTATATTTATCTGTGAAATATAGGAAACAGTGACGCGATCAGTAGTATTTTTAATTGATCTGTGAAATATTGGAAACAGTGTCGCAATCTGTAATATTTCTATATTTATCTGTGAAATATGTGAAACAGTGACGCGATCAGTAAAATTTTTAACTGATCTGTGAAATATTGGAAACAGTGACGCAATCTGTAATATTTCTATATTTATCTGTGAAATATAGGAAACAGTGACGCGATCAGTAGTATTTCTATATTTATCTGTGAAATATGTGAAACAATGACGCGATCTGTAATATTTGTATATTTATCTGTGAAACAGTGACGCGATCAGTAGTATTTCTATATTTATCTGTGAAATATGTGAAACAATGACGCGATCTGTAATATTTGTATATTTATCTGTGAAATATTGGAAACAGTGTCACGATCTGTAATATTTCTATATTTATATGTGAAATATTGGAAACAGTGACGTGATCTGTAATATTTCTATATTTATCTGTGAAATATGTGAAACAGTGACGCGATCAGTAGTATTTCTATATTTATCTGTGAAATATGTGAAACAATGACGCGATCTGTAATATTTCTATATTTATCTGTGAAATATTGGAAACAGTGACGTGATATGTAATATTTTTATATTTATCTGTGAAACAGTGATGCGATCTGTAACATTTCTATATTTATCTGTGAAATATGGGAAACAGTGTCGCGATCTGTAATATTTCGATATTTATCTGTGAAATATTGGAAACAGTGACGCGATCTGTAATATTTCTATAATTATCTGTGAAATATGGGAAAAAGTGACGCGATCTGTAATATTTCTATAATTATCTGTGAAATATGGGAAACAGTGACGCGATCAGTAATATTTCTATATTTATCTGTGAAATATGGGAAACGGTGACGCGATCAGTAGTATTTCTATATTTATTTGTGAAACATTGGAAACAGCGACGCGATCTGTAATATTTCTATATTTATCTGGGAAATATGGGAAAAAGTGACAGTTAAATTCCCTAATAGTTTTAAAGATGAAAAGATTTACAAAATATCGTGAAACAAATCAATTTTAGATTATCGAGTTCTTATTTACTACATCTAAAGATATCCTACCAGGGCAATTGTTTGCGAAATGTCAGCGAACCACTGAAAGGTTAAAAGATCCAACTTCAAACATCGATTCTCGGGGACCTTGTTTAGCATTCGAGGTTGTAAAACTTACGTTAAATCAATCGTTATAGAAGATTTTGTAAATCGAATTATCAAAAATCCCCAGCAGGATAAAACATCGTGTAGACAAATGCCTCAACAAATATAATTTTATATTAGCTTGAAATACGAGAAATTAACCGTTACTAACAACTAGCAGTACACGATACGCCTCTCTACCGGTACTACAAAATACTGATAGAGTTATCTTTCTTGTCCCTACGGCTCCAAACATTCAACACCAACAGCGTAACTTAAGATGACGTAAAGGTATATCTTGTTGAACAAGCCTTATAATGCTTTTTATCATGATCGTACATGTTAAATTAAAAAAACCCCAACAGATTCGAATTTGCTAAAAAAAGGGTTAAAGAAAAGACGACTTAACACATCTGTGATTTATGAGCGAGATGGGAAGACTTAAAGATAAAATGTCGTATACTAGGCCTCAGACAGTAATGAAATTGTCTTTTTGTCGCGATCTACATTCTATAGAGCTACATGTATAACATAAATATCCCCTGTGTGGTATTACGTAATAGTACTTATCAGGGAAATATTCATATATTATTTAAAGTAAAAAATAAACAAACATTAATCTAGTCTTATCCTACAGTGCGTACTGAGTTTTAGTTAATTATAATTACACTTTAAATGCTATGGAAACGAGATTAAGATACCAGGTCGTCAGTTTCACTTAACCTCAGCCTGTATACTGTGTCTAAAGGCTACATCAATCTCGATTTAAAAGTCAGCGGTGGAAAAAAAAGTCTACGCCATTGATTTTAGTAAACACATAGTTTACCAGAATAAAAACAACGTTGAGTAGTAAAACTTACCTCCGAGAAACTATCCTGAATTGATGTGTCTGAGGTTATATAAGGCCACTGGGTGTAATGCTCTAGCAACGTATCTAAAAATGAAAGTCATGCTAGTTTTAAAGAAACAACAAACATTTATATGTTCTTCGTATGTTGTTGCGTTACGGGGTATTTATCTGTCAGCTGAATTATGACAGAGACGCGGTCATGACTTTCCGCTATCGGTTTGTAAATGTTTCAACTCTGCTGGAACATATTGTTTTCTTTGTAGTGATATTTCTAACATCACACATTAAAAAAAGAAACAAGAGTTTCAGTGAAACTGATGAATACGCCTCGAAAACGACTTTACTGGACACAAAATTTAATCAAAGGGCGATAATTCTGTAATTAAGAAGTTGCAAGCCCTGAATTTGGTATACTGCGCATTCTCTTAGTATGACCAATGTATACACCAAGTTTCAATAACTCCTAAATTATGCAAAATGGAGTTATGGTTCTTGTACACTGCTCTTCTCCTTATTGAGATCTATCTACCTATGAAGTTTCATGTTGAAACCTCTTCTGGTCTTTGTGATATGCTCCGGACAAAATTAAGGCGGACTGACAGACAGACGAACAAACGGGAGGACGGATTGTTGTTAAAGCGGTGACTACATGCTCTCCCTTCAGGAAGCATGGTAATACCGATCTTTTTTTTTTATCATTCTGTAGTATGACAGCTGTCACCAAAAACGTTACATCTGTCATCATAATTCCTTTACACTTGTGTTCTGTTTGATATTTACCTTACAACATTTCATATTTACCACCTGATGTCTTTTATTTGTACAGGTAAGTGTGGTCAGAGGGTTACCTGTTGTACATTGTGTGTCAGATACTCACCTACGATACCTGGTATTTCTGGAAGGTCACCTCTAAAACAGTACATCAGGGTCAGTAGTTTTGCCCGACCTTGACCTTTACCACCAAAAGCTTTGATGAATGGAATTGCTAAAAGAAATAGATAAAAAAAAAAAAAAAATCAGTGCCAAGTAGAAATTTGTAATGATTAGCACGTAAATTTGCGATCACATGATCGCAGTTTCCTGTCATATACAAAACCAAAAAACAACACGATGTTGGCTAAGTGTACAAATATACGACAAAATGTTAAACTACAACACAGAACCGGAAAAAAACATGGACATTGCTTAGAAAAGTGATTCCTATCTAAATCGATATTGAATTGAATATATTGAAAAAGAATATGTTCAATTAGCATGAAATAATTAATTTGATAATATGTCATACTGGATAATTTCAAAAGCAAACAACGCTTAAGCGTTCCGTCTCTCATTGATTTAGGATTCCATGTTAGTCAGGTGGCGCAGTGGTACCGCACTCGTCTTTCACCTGGCCGTCCGGATTTCGATTTCCGGAACGGACGTGAATAAGTATGGGTCACCTGCCCGACCACGTGGGTTTTCCCCGGGTACTCCGGTTTCCTCCAAAACATCATGCGTGCTTCCAACCGGGACAACAAGAGTGATTAATATAAACCGATATTTTGTTTCGCGATTGTTGAAAAATAAATAAAGTTCATATTATATTGCGCAAAAAACCATCACCAATTTTAATTGTGTCTTCAGTTAATACAACGGAGAATCAAACACATCGATTAAACTACATCAGCCAAACCTTAAATTGTAAACAGATCTACTCTTTCCCATTATAAAGAACCACCATGATCTTGTTACATTTTGTGTTTCCTCAGTGACACTAGCGTACCTGAAAATGATCCTCTCAGTATTGACTTAACGTTGTAAATCCTGCTACACTCAGATGATCTTTGGAAGTCGAAGAACATAAAATTATCACAAACTATGCCTATGTTTATAATAAAGAACTATAAAACCAAACAAAATTTGAATTTTATTCGTCGGCATGTAAGCCATTAGCAAATGCTGATAACATTATCAGCCAGATAAAAACAAGGCGGCCTTTATCTACCCAACATGTTTTCACCAAAAGAAGGAATATATAACAGATCTATGCATTTTGAAACTTCGTAATGAAATCAATAATTTCCATTTCAGCATTTACTGATATCTATATATAAGAATTTTATGACATTGTTTTATCTACTGTCACTCATCGGGGAAACGAGGGATCCATTCATATCATTGTAACATGTTATCACACAAATCACGGCGGTTTCATGAGCTAGTCACTGCACTAGCAAAAACGGATGATCAGAAACAGTAAATATTTGATGTGGAACGCTTCGGTAAATGTTTGATCATGACCACTTCGGTAAATGTTTGATCACGACCACTTCGGTAAATGTTTGATCATGACCACTTCGGTAAATGTTTGATCACGACCACTTCGGTAAATGTTTGATCATGACCACTTCGGTAAATGTTTGATCTTGACGACTTCAGTAAATGTTTGACCTTGACGACTATGGTAAATGTTTGATCTCGACGACTTCAGTAAATGTTTGATCTCGACGACTATGGTAAATGTATGATCTCGACGACTTCGGTAAATGTTTGATCTCGACGACTATGGTAAATGTTTGATCTCGACGACTTCGGTAAACATTTGATCTAGAACACTTCAGTAAATATTTGATCTAGAACACTTCAGTAAATATTTGATCTAGAACATTTTAGTAAATATTTTATCTCGAACAATTCGTTAAATATTTGATCATGAACAATTGGGTAAATATTTGATCTAAAACAACTGTGCAAATATTTGATCTAGAACAATTGGGTAAACATGTGCTCTGGAACAGTTAAGTGAATATTTGCTCTTTAATTTGTTTTTGTAAATGTCGATATATAAGCCGTAATCTTTTAGTAAATCGTTGATCTAGAACACTTGAGTATATATGAGCTCTTTTAAGATTTAAGTCAAATATTTGATTGTGAACATTTAGATACATGTAAATATGTGGGTTGAATATTTAGCTAAATGTTTGATTTAAAACACTTTGTCGGGAAAACTTCGAAAGATTGTTTGTTATGGAACACGTTGGTAAATATGTGTTCTGGTTGCTAAGGTTAATAAGTAAATGAACTTTCTGGAATACTTAGACAAATGTGTGTACTTAGACAATTAGGTAAATCTATGTTAATTATGGTATTGTACGGGTTGACCCGGCAATTATTAAAGCCCGATTTTTACTACACTGAACAATCCTTTTCACTCCATGTAAAATGCCAAGGTTATATAATCAAGAGGCGAGAGGGGATCGAAAGAAAGCGAGTGATTGCTGGCATTTCCAGGAATATTTCTTGACAACAGATTTGAATTAGAAAAACACGATGTGCAACGCTCCACAGCATTCGTGAAGAACCAAACAGTTCATGTGAGCACGAGCATTACTCACGACAGTGCTATTACATAGTCCTTAAATTTTTCACGACGCTAGTAATTTTCTTGTGACCAAGCAAATGTCGTCTTGTCACGGACGAGAATATATCACAAAGTGATTTTCTTGTAAAAGATTTGATCACGAAGGACCCCGTGTCAAATTAATCACAAAACTATCGTCAAATGGTACTACGGACAATTTATTATTACATCACAGCCTATATCATTCGTTCACATCGACGTCTCTAAATGAGGAATGTTATTAAAAGTGAAAATTACGATGAAGCTACAAAATAACAAAAAAATTCGGGAGATGTATACTAATAAAAATGATTTGGAAGTGTTACGGTTGACGTAATCATCCTATTAGTACATGTGCCATTTCCTTAAGCGATATAAGGTGCTCGTTAGTATACCAGTTGGTTCCGTTTTTGTTTACCGTGTTGATATTTGGGAACGTGGCATTATTTACTTGAAAGTTTTCATGGCGGTGTTATCTATAAAGCAGAAGACGCTTACTATTATAGAACACCTGGTCTTATTCTCCTTTTTATACTTTTTCATAAGTCTGCGTTTTAATATTTCTTTTGTTCGTACTTGACGTAGAATTTATGGAACTTGTGTTTCTATCATAATTAAGTTTACATAATGGTATTTTTATTTGTTGTAGTTAACGTGTTTTTTTTTTTGTGTATTTTGAGAACATTCCGTGAAATATCACTTTCTGTACATTTCGAATATACAGTACTCGGTGAGTAGGAACCACCACGTAATTCTGCATATTTTAAAAGAACCCTGTGTGTTAAAATCGCCATGCCATTTTGTACATTTTGAAAGCACTCGTTAATTTGGAACTGTCGGAAGTCCAGGAAGCAAGGATATTGTCCGTGAGATATTAAAAGAGACATATAAAGCAAATTAGAATTCAAACTTAAGATCCCGTGTTAAAGCGAACATACGTGGATAATTAGACTAGGTGTTTCAGAAGGGTAAGCGTCTTCTGTTTCCTGCATGATACCCTCTACCAAGGTAGATCTTGTGTAAGGAATACGCGTAATATCATGTTCTCAAACGAGATCATGGTTTATACCAACAATCGCCAGACACACTAAAAGCATCGTACACGTCTAATTGAATATCTTAACAGAAAATACCACCTTTCTCTATAAAATTATGACAGAGGTTATTAGATTTCGCCAACAGCCTCCGTATCTCTGCACCTCACTAACAACGACGTAATTGGCCAAGTGGCCTTGGCTAGCGAACAATGGAGACAAAAATAGTTTGGAACATATCGTGTGACGCAGATTTCAAGAGGATCATTGGAAATGAAAACATCAATTTTGTTATCTGTGTGACGCTGATACCCACCGTTTACATAAAATTGATTGCCCTTCATCCAAGAATGTTTTAAACCAAATTTGGGCAAATTCCAAGCATCCCTACAGGAGGTGTATAATTTTAAGGAATTTGCTCTGTTTCACCTACCGGACCACGCCCCTCCCGTCCCAGGATACTCAGACCCATTTTTTACACAAATCTTATTCCTTTTCACCAAAGAATACTTCAGACCATATTTGGGCAAAACACAGCCCTTCCTACATAAGGGGTAGGATTTTACACAACTTGCAAAATTTCTCCTTTTTAGCCTCGCCCCCTCAAACTCCAGGGGGCTGAGACCCATCATTTATATAAAATATGTCCCCCTTGCCCAAGGATGCGTCTGACCTAATTTGGTCAAAATCCGTTTAGTTGTTCACGACAAGTAGTGATTTGTAGAAAATGTCGACGGACGACGGACGGACGCCGCGGTTTGACATTAACTCCTTGGTCCTTTGGACAAGGTGAGCTAAATACAAATCACATGGTTTATAATATAAAATATTAAAGACAAGTTCTGCAATATAAAAGGCAAGAATTTGAGAATAAATAACGAGATGTAGATCATGTAACGTTGCCATAACGGTCAGTGAGATTTACTTTGATATCACATACGCGTCATTCCATTAGCAACCCACAGTGAAATAATATCCGGCCTTTTAGGCGGAAAATGTTTCAAACAAATACTTGTCTCATCAAAACTGAACGAAGAAAGCACATTCGTATGTGATTGTATCAATGTGTATTCGGTTTCAAAGAGATCAACAGAAAAGTGAGCGAACGAACTCAAGATAAGATTAAATTATCGAAAAAAGTCCAAAGCTTTCGAATGGAAATGTCAATCAAGAACGCGGTTTCAAGGGATAGGTTGAGAACTAAGGGAGGAAATGTGGGCACAAGATTAAAAGAAATGCTGGAAAAAACACTGGGCAAGCATACAAAATTCTTCGGATCACACTCGAATCTACTTTGTTGTGAATATATAGTCTATTAAGTTAGAAATCGGAGAGATCAGACAGCTAAAAAAAAAAAAAAAAAAAGGGGGGGGGGGGGGGGGGGGGGGGGGGGGAGGGGAACAAACCAAAAAAACGTAACGGCGGACAGAAAATGCTTCACAACAGAGAATTCTTTTGACGGGCGTACATATCTCCAGATGTCATCAGATTACAAAAGCAAAATCGCTGTTTTCATTATAGAGAGACATCGCTCTCACAGGATACATTGGAACATACCGCAATCACGTAACCAATACATTGCATGCTTAAACTATAACCCATTCTCAAATACATTGGACAGAACCGTATCTCAGTTAAATGAAGATAATTTGTAACGAATCCTAGACGAAAAGGAGCCGATCCTATGTAGTATTGGAAAAATCTTCTCAGTAATATCGTTTATTGCCGAAATATTTACGTGACGTCACAATACCTTAACGATCCTAAGCTGATTATGACGTCAAAATACATTGGTCTTATCCGATTAGGCACAATTATTTTAATAAACCATTTTCAAAACAAGAAATAGATAAAATTAATAGAAAATCAATCTCGTGGGGAAAAAAATAACAGGGTCAATGACATGCGCCGTGAAGACCTCTGGCTGAATCTACGTACCGGCAATGAGTCCCTCGTCCTTGGTAGCACCGGTGAGGATACTCTCCACCTCAAAGTCTCCCAAGACGGCCATCCTTTCTGGGGTGTCTGGCATGAAGTATCCGTCCACTACCGGACGGAATTGTGGGGACAGTGATGGTGACGCCTGGAGAAACAAAGTGAATATATGACTATGATATATTATTGTAGAAAAGACACACAAGTAGACAGAAGCAAGTTTTGAATAAGTATATATATATAAATAAGTCCTTCAAATAAACCCCCCGACCCCCGATCCCCTCCCCTCTCCACTCCTCAATCGTGAATAATTGTTAAGAAATACTTAAACATATGGAAAGGAGGCCTGCTGACAGAGCGGAGTGCACCTGTAAAATCTGAAAACACATTTTTGTTACTGGCAAGGAACCCTGGTTTATACCTATAAAGAGAATTTTTCGAATCATTTTGTCTTATCAGAACACGCACGTCATCCGAGTGTTTCAGATGCCATGCATATACTTACCAAATATTACTAATGACAATATCTATAGTTTGACCTATTAGAAGCCTCCATTCGGCAGCGTTTGGGTGATATCGTCATTTCTTATTAAAGCATCTTAAAGAGTGTCATATAGTTATCATTTTCACCAACTTTATCTCGATACGCCGAATGGAACAAAAGTTATAGGTGAAAGGAAACTAGAAAATGACGGTCATTTTACCAAATCAAAAAACGAAGTCGTATGTACTTCCATAGGATATCAGTATCAGTCCCTCAAAGTATGGTGGCAGTTTTGGAGAAAAGTGTCAAAAACTTTTACAGCTTAAAGAAGAAGAAGTCCATTTAATGGACTTAAAGTATAAACTGTACCCTGCAACTGTTTCGTTCTTGTAGGGCCGTAATACTGAGCACTGAATGTATTTAGAAGTGACAAAGGACATTGGTAGAAATAAATTTCACAAGCAAATGTATTTCGGTGGCAATGAAGTGACCATCTTACTATGTGACTATTTATAGTTTGGTTTGATGGTCCGTTAACACATCAGTGTGACTGTGTGTGAAAATATTGTGTTGGCAGATTACTGTGTGACTATTTGATGGTTTTTGTGTGGTCTTTTACAACCTCAATGTGGCTGTGTGTGATATTATTGTGTTGGCAGATTACTGTGTGACTATTTGATGGTTTTTGTGTGGTCTTTTACAACCTCAATGCGGCTGTGTGTGATATTATTGTGTTGGGTGTGATATTGATGGTTTTTGTGTGTTGCGGCTGTGTGTGATATTATTGTGTTGGCAGATTACTGTGTGACTATTTGATGGTTTTTGTGTGGTCTTTTACAACCTCAATGCGGCTGTGTGTGATATTATTGTGTTGGCAGATTACTGTGTGACTATTTGATGGTTTTTGTGTGGTCTTTTACAACCTCAATGCGGCTGTGTGTGATATTATTGTGTTGGCAGATTACTGTGTGACTATTTGATGGTTTTTGTGTGGTCTTTTACAACCTCAATGCGGCTGTGTGTGATATTATTGTGTTGGCAGATTACTGTGTGACTACCACCACGATGTCAGATTTAATGTAATGGTCACCATGTGGCTATTATAAAACTTAATCTGGCTCCTTTGTGACATGATATACAACGAAAGTGTTAGACACCTATTATAACCCCATAATGCTGAAACAACATTCTATAACGATATAAGGACAGCAATGCACTATGTGGTCAGAAGACAGACAGACGGAAGCCAAAATCAAACCACATGTCTCAATTTTACTGAAAGCCGAGATGTCTGTGGGATATAACTTTATATCATATCAAATGCCAGCGAACAGTCAAACACACGAGCCTCGATATCGTACTGACGTCGACAAACCTGCTTTATAACAAAGTATTTAAAGTAAGATAACTTTGTCTACGCGACTGACGTCCTGTGCCAAATGTACGGATAAGTAATATATTGAAAGTACATTGGTACGTTGTCATTGGTTAAATGTACCTGTATGGTGCATTACAAATTGTATCTGATTGAGAAGGTCAGATTGTAAGGAAAAAGTTCATGGTGATTACAGTAGAGGATACAGTGTTGAATATAAAGTGTATGTGAGTATGCTCTATGATAAGATATCGATTATCAAAAGTACATTTCAACACCTATCGATCATTTTCTCTTACGTCATAATTTTGTGAGATGAAGGAATGCATCCGCTTGGATGGAACTGCCTGTAGACATTTCTTAATCTGTGCCGAATCTTCAAACAAACAGTCGAAAGCAGAGGCAAAAACCTTAAAATGAACGCTCTGTCCCCCTGGGTATCTGGTCACTGCCCAATGGGCCAAAGGCGAGCCACTCTGTATAATAACTCGTCTGAAGAGTCCTGTAAGAGTAGGAAAGACATGTGAAATAACATTGTATAAATCTGATTTCCGACAGTCCCCTGGGTTAATGAAAATCGATTCAATAAACAATTGAGTGTCCGATTAGATTTGGTTTTTTATCTTGCATCCAGACATAGGGGTCTATTGCGGACTTTGTTTCAGGGCAACAGACCTCAGTCCGATTATGCGACTTTAACTTCCCGTTAACATATTTGGAGAGGTTATAAAATAATTCCGCCATTTTGACATAAACATTTCACAGTACATTTTTAAATATCCAGAATACAACAAGCACACTCCGAGGACTTTAAATTAAGTTAGACTCGTAGTCCAAAAATAGAAATTTAGATATTTCAAGAACACGTGCTTAAGCGGACGACCTTTTTAATTCAACGTGGTTAATTTGAAAACGCTAAGGACCATCTAGTTGAAAAGATAAAACTCTTCTGGAAAACGTTTTCTCGATAAATTAACAGTGACAGTTATTGGCTATGCAAAGAGAGGAAGACATGGCTTAACTGTTTCTTTAACATGGAATAAATACCCTGTTAAGCTCAGCGAAAAAATTGAGCAAAAATCAGCATTACATAATTACTCATATGGAATGAGAACAGAAACGGTATGTACTCTTCGAGAAATTCTCGAGAATTTATTCCCCTGAGAATGAAAACCATTATTCGATCATTTTTTTCTGCAGTGCTTTCTGCATAGACATTTAAAAATTAAAAATAAAATAAAATAATTTAAAATTAAATCTGAACAATAACGTGTGACCCTCTCTACAGCCTTCGTATCAAATATCATGTACAGAAATCAAATATATTTCAGGATTAATTTAAAATTTTAACAAAAAAAAAAAAAAAAATATCAAAACCACTCTTTCAACTGGACTTTATCAATATTTTAGCTGTCTAATTCAACCATCAGGGTTACAACATAAATGGATTTCATCAATAGTTTAGCAGTCTGAACCAACCACCAGGGCTACAGCCTAAATGAACTTTATCAGTAGTTTAGCTATTTAAACCATTCATCAGGACTACAGTATAAGCTCTATTGTTACACATACACGTAAATGTCTTGAAAATCGAATAAAACACTAAATTTTGGTAATACCCGTTATGATGAAACAGTCTTTTGAGAAGTGGCAAGGTTGGGAACCCTAGAGTTCCTCTTCTTACAGAATGTCACCTCGGACAGGTGATTTCTCACTAATCTTATCATTTTCTTTCCTTCTCTTTGATTATTCATTCTTTCTCTCATTCTTCTTCCATTCGTACATACATCATCCGATTTATGAAGTTATGACCTTTGACAAGAGCCTGTGTCAAGATCTACCATCATACTATACTTTTAATGACCCGGATCGAAAGATAGGGGGCACATTAGTTTGGTGTTGTCTGTTTGTTTGACTCTTGTCAACTTTAACATCTATTGCACCGTAAGAGGTAGGACTTTCATCTTTGGCATGTGTGTTCCTTGTGACAAGACCTTTTCACCATGTGACCTTTACCGTGACCTTTGACGCACATCTTTCCTTTGAAGAATTTTAACATAGGCCATACCTATTGCATCATAAAAGGTACTGCTTTCATGTTTGGAATGTGTGTTCCGTATGACAAGACCTTTTCGGTGGTACCAAAAGTTTTGACTGTGTGATTTTGCTTTTGTTTATTTTATTTGATTTTGTTTGTTTTGTGTTTTTTTGTGTGTAGTTTCTTTACTTTACATATTCTCTCAGTCAGAGACAATAATTTATTTGTTAGATGGATCGTTTCTTCTATATACATCATGATAATGGAAACACAAACTCCACGTGTCATTTCCTTGTCTACAACATATCTAGATTATTGCTTAAGAAAATTGAAATATGGCATTGCCTTTGATTTGTGGTAGTGATGTCTATAAATGTTCATGCATTCCCACGCACCCACACCCCAACAACCTAAAACAACCGCACTCACACATAAAAAATTGTATATATTAAATCTGATGATGGTGGGCATAAAAACAAGGACAAATGGAAATCATATTTAAAAACGTATTAAGGAAATCCATACCAGCACCAATGGAACATCTGGTTTTATGAATAGCTAGAACAAAAAAAAATCTTAAATTGTAGGCAGATTACATGTGTCGTTTGGAAGTAAAAAGATTTTTTTTGTTACTTAGGTTGTGACACTAAAATATTTCGGTGTTACAAAGATCACGTTTTTTTTTCAAAACATAATTTATAGTTTTGTTTGGCTTTTGGAATATCCTTTTAAAGAATTGTCTCCGAATTTCCTAAACTTCACGTCAAGTCGGAAACATATATTCTAAGTCCTCTATGTGATATTTACAAAATGTACACTTACTATTAGCCAATACATAAATCATTTTGAAACATGCATTAAGTGGCAAAAAATCCTATCTTTTTTGTACTTTTGGACAATATTCTAATATAAAAAGTTATTTAGGGTCTTGCAGAGTTTATCGTCTCCCAAAGTATATTGTTGTCATCAAGTCATGAATTAACAGATATGCATAGACTCTCTCAACTTCTTAATATCATAAGACTGTCGGAAATTCAGCCTTGTTGTACAAAGACACTTTCCCGAAAACACAAACGCCACAAATGAGGTTATAACAGAAGGGTTAATTCAAGCACATCAAAAATATACTTGAGCTTGTGAAACCTAACGTTCATCCGAATCGGGCGACAACGGACAATGTATGTTTAACGTTGGCGTTGAATGAGGCGGAAACAGAAGCATCCACCGCATTTGAATATAGGACTATAATCTAACGCTGCAGTGTCAGAGCACAGATATATCAAATATGATAACATGCATGTTCCAGAGATCAGGAGAACTGGACCAGAAAGACAATATCAAAACGATTAAGTTTGCTAATAGCTGTCTAAAACGCTTTGAACACGACATTACTTCCCCTGATCAATCACGGATGATAAACAACCAGAGCGATAATAATAGGCATGAGGGTATAGCGCTGATACCGGCATCACAACATACTGCTTCATTTAATCTATTTTCAACATAATTTCAATTCGGTTGAAACATGTTAAACTGGAATAAGCCTTGATTGATATGGGTATTGACTAAAATATCAAAACCTTCAATGCAGAGAAGAGAAAACACATTCTAATGACAAAAGGTATTCATTGGGTTGTCTTACAAAAGACTGCTACTAACTCCTCACCAGATGTACTGAGATGCCCTCACTAGGAATGATCATATACTTCAATGTGTTTCCATTATAGATGTCTGTAAGGATATCAACATTATTTTTTTATTTATCGCCAGTAGCGCTCAGCAAGAACGCTGTATTGTCAGCGATAAGCAGCAATATAGTACGGGACAATGATTGGCTTGTTAATGAGTGTAGATGCATAGCGAGCACCTGCTCACGTAATCCTACCCGCGAACATACTTAATCCTTCCATCATTGACACGGAGCTGGCTGTTCATACAGATAAAACCTTTTCATCACTTCATGATTAACGAATAAATCCTAGGATTTTAGAGAATAACACTTCTCCGGGTTTTGGTTTCTGTTCAAACGACCACAGAGCAATATGTGTCGAATATGATCAAATATCTTGACTGACCGGAAATTGTCCTGAAACATCTTGTTGGTAGTGATTATGACGGGTTTTTTTTTATTTGATTCTGTTGTCCGTTATACCTTTGTCTGTCCATTAAGAGTGTTGATTTCAGCAATGGATAACAACCTTGATGTACCTTGAGGTGGATGTGTATACCATTAGTTTTGCTGGACATGTTTGATGCTCATTAATTTGCCTGTTGGTTCCAATGTTGTATACCTTGTTCTCATTTGAGATCGTGACAGTACTTACTTTGATTGACCAAAGTTTACATGGCGGGTGTCGTCGATGAAGCAGAATACGCTCACCCTTCCTGGACACCTGGTCTTGTTCTCCTTGTACTTTTACAGGAATTTCCGGGTAAATCTTGTATTGTTTGTCCTCTTTTGCTTATGTTCACATGTTGATATTTTATTGTTTCTGCTAGAAAACTATGGCCAGGATATATTTCCCTATACTTTTATCTTACGATCTTTCAAAAGTTTATAAATTTTCAAAAATATTATACCACTTAAAAAATCCAAAATATACTGTTGAAACTATAACGATATGGAACATTTTATGATTGTAGAACTTTCCGAAATATGAATATTTGAAAAAATTAAGAACAAGATATCAGAAAAAGTCAATCTTGACCACAAGCGTATATTTTTTCGCGGAGTCTTTTTTTCGTGGCTTCTTTAAGAAGCGATAATGAAACATGAACAGAAGATTTGCATGGAAATAATTAAAATTTGTGTCAGTAGCTTATCACCCGTGACTTTGTGTCAGTAGATTATCACCTGTGACTTTGTATTAGATCACCTACATGGTCCTTCACCAATATCTAATTTACCTTTAGCTAGTGGAGACATCATGACGAGACCCGCACTGCATCCACCGGCGCTATGGCCATCTATTGTGACAAGGTCAGGGTTGCCATGGAAATAAGCAATGTTGTCTCTTGTCCACTGTAGGGCGGCGATGATGTCCAACATCCCATAATTTCCTGGTAAGTCGGCGTCACCAGTTGCGAGGAAACCTTTATCGGAACAATGTACAGAGAAGTTGGTCACGTGAGAAATTGAATGCACACATGGGTTTGATATTTAGCCAGTAGCTATATTACTATAATACAAATTCTGACTCAAAATAGACAAGGATATATATCATAATATTTCGAGGGACATACATGATGCATGTCGAACTATTGCAATGATCAGATGTCTGATGTTCCAGAGAAAAACCTACGTTTAATGCAAAAATTGTCTCATTCACAACATAAAAAAAGGGATTGGAGCGGATAACTGATGGTAGCGGCACGTTTTTGTAGAAGCGTTGGTGATGTTAAGATGTTCTTTGGATCATAGTTACACTGCCACTACGAACAAAACGTCAGGCATGCTAAAAAGGTGATGGTTTACCAGATGTCTCAATTTCTAAATCATCTGGCTTTAAACCATGGCGCATTTGAAGAAATTTCTTTCTTTTTTTTTTTTTTTTTTTGCATTTTCCCCCGTATCTTTCCGGGACAAGACCGACAAACCATCAGGAATAATATCGAGTTTCATAAAGAAAAATGAATTTGAATAAACCCTAAGGAGGCCATGACAATAACCATTATCCTGAACCAATCAAAATTTCTCGGAACCCTGGGGATCATGATATAAGGGACGATTTGTTGAACGCAGAAAGGGAGGGAGAGGTGTTTTACAATTATGATAATGGAACTTGATAATCAAAAAGTGTAATTAATATGCTGAGCATGCATGGAAGTAAAAGTTTAAAAAAGGTGAAAAACGTCTCATGGAAAAAGTCAGTACCGTATTTGAAGCTATTGAGTGTTATTGAATAAAATATTTGGAACTTGTTTTATAATTATGTATCGTATATTCAGAAACATATTGCTATTAAAGATAAGACAATGAAGTGATATGTTATATGCATCCCTTTTTAAAAGCCAAGATGCTATAAAAGTTAAAAATATATATTAAAAAACAATTCATCCATATGCGTAATTACAATTATTTTTAAAATTTTCAGAATTTTTCAGGCATAACGCATATCCATATAGTTGCAGTGAAGCTATTTCTATAAATATGATAGCCATATTTATGCGTAAAACGTGTTTAGATTAATATGAAATAATTCAAACCCTATCTCTATTTATCTTATGGACAATTTGTAACTTTATATCTATCTTATGGACAATTTGTAACTTTATATCATAATGATTCTCTTGAGAAAAAAGTAAATCGGTCACAGGTCTCATTTTTTCTTCTGTTATTCCTTAAAGCAATCCATATCATATAACGGTACACTTCAACTTGTGAAATAAATGTAATAAAATTTCAGTTAAAGATAACCTTAGAGCATCCTTTACGTAGGATCCAATTGCAAACAATTAACAGCGTGCCGAACGTTCTCCGTAATCGCTCTGTACTTTTCCACTCTCTAAAGCCTATTCTATTGGGATTTCGTGTTTAAAATACGAATCACATTTCCAAGACAAATAACCCGGTGTCATTTAGCTAACAATGTGATTAAGTTGTGAGCTTACCAAGTGGCCCGATCCGATAGTTGATGGAAACGACGACAATGTCTTGAGCGGCAAGAGCGCTTCCATCGAAAATGGCTCCCATCCCATTGTAATAGGACCCGCCGTGTATAAACACTAGAACTGGCAGAGTGTTTACGAAATGATGTCCTTTCTGTAATGAGAAAAATGACAAGTTATGAAGTTGTGGCTGTTTCTGACAGAGGATGGGCATATGTAGAAGTATGTGCACCATTCATAGCTTTCCTTATTCGGGTAAATCGACGTAAGTGTTCGTATATGTAAAATGCGACACGCATCGCTAAACGGATCAAAGCCAATTCATGACATGACTGATACAAACGTGGATATATCAACTGGGTTAGTTGGGTATAACATCGATGATATATTGCGGATATTTTTATTCGAGTCTCCAGTAACGATTTAAACCTCTGTATGCTGTTGAAGAGACTTAAAATTAAGGCTTATGGGGGCAACAAGTGTACATGGACGCAATTTTCCACGGTTCGTGTAAGACAGAACTGCTATGTTCGGTAGTGACAATGGTCCACGATGTGTTAATGTGTAATTCTGTTCACGTACTAAATCACAACAACCAACATTAACACCAATATCACACTTCAAATTATCACCACCAGCACATACAACGTGATACACGTCGTATAAATTTAGCTACACAACTTTAAGCCCCTGTATTTAACGTCAATACAAAACTACGGTTATAGTAAACCAATAAACTATACTATTGATAGGACAGGCAGCGAATTTACGGTTCACGATCAATAAAAAAACACCATTTGGTAGTTTATCATCCCGTGAACAGCCAAGGTCATTTCGAGGAGGGGTCTCATAGAAGTGGTTATGTCACTAGACAACAACCGGAAGGCCCGTCGCATGTTATCCAGGGCAATTAAGTAAAGAGCCTCGTCCAAGGACACAGCCATTAAGCAAAAATTTGGCCCGTTCCTCAGAATCCTTAGGAACACAAACCGCCACGGACAGGGAGTGTCGAACCACGCATCTCGGATCACCCCCTTGTTAGCCTCGTACAATAAAAGAAATCTAATCGCGTTTTATATTTATATAAGCAATAATTCCTTTCTGTATTTGACCACTTTATGGAGAATACTCTAATGGTGTACAATAAAACCTGTATTATATATCAAACTAATCAGTGGTGATCAAAACAGATTATTAAATACAATATCATTGGTAGGTTTTGATAACAGCAGCTGACATTGGTATAGGTCATGGAAAGACTTAATCAGTTAAACAAGGCATAAAATTGATATAGAAATAAAACCATCACGGGAATGAAATTACATACAGAGAGTCCTTAGACGCATTCTCATTAAAACCAAAATGGCTCCAGTGTAACAATTCCCATCAGGAACATCAACTCCCGACAGGAACATTATGTCCCCAGGATATCAACTCCCGACAGGAACATTATGTCCCCAGGATATCAACTCCCGACAGGAACATATTGTCCCCAGGATATCAACTCTCGACAGGAACATATTATCTCCAGGATATCAACTCCCGACAGGAACATATTATCTCCAGGATATCAACTCCTGACAGGAACATATTATCTCCAGGATATCAACTCCCGACAGGAACATAAAGTTCCCAGGATATCAACTCCCGACAGGAGCATATTGTCTCCAGGATATCAACTCCGGACAGGAACATATTATCTCAAGGATATCAACTCCTGACAGGAACATAATGTCCCCAGGATATCAACTCCCGACAGGAACATAAAGTCCCCAGGATATCAACTCCCGACAGGAACATGATGTCCCCAGGATATCAACTCCCGACAGGAACATATTGTCTCCAGGATATCAACTCCCGACAGGAACATATCATCTCCAGGATATCAACTCCCGACAGGAACATATTATCTCCAGGATATCAAATGTCCCCAGGATATCAACTCCCGACAGGAACATATTGTCCCCAGGATATCAACTCCCGACAGGAACATAAAGTCCCCAGGATATCAACTCCCGACAGGAACATGATGTCCCCAGGATATCAACTCCCGACAGGAACATATTATCTCAAGGATATCAACTCCTGACAGGAACATATTGTCCCCAGGATATCAACTCCCGACAGGAACATATTATCTCAAGGATATCAACTCCCTACAGGAACATGATGTCCTCAGGATATCAACTCCTGACAGGAACATAAAGCCCCCAGGATATCAACTCCCGACAGGAACATAAAGTCCCCAGGATATCAACTCCTGATAGGAACATAAAGTCCCCAGGATATCAACCCTGACAGGAACATGATGTCCCCAGGATATCAACTCCCGACAGGAACATATTATCTCCAGGATATCAACTCCTGACAGGAACATAAAGCCCCCAGGATATCAACTCCCGACAGGAACATATTGTCCCCAGGATATCAACTCCTGTCAGGAACATGATGTCCCCAGGATATCATGAATTATATGATGTACTGGTGCGACACTACAGAGCCGTTACTGGATTAAAATTGTCCAAGATCCATTCTATGTTCCGTTATTATGCGAAAAATGCTTTGTTTATCAATGGGTTCTTGAATATTTAAAATCAAATGATATGAGTTTGTGCTTCCATTGCATCTAAAAGTTTTCAACTGCAAACAAACGCTGCAGCAACTGAATGTAGATGACATTATAACTAGTCCTCCGTCAGCTGGGTACATAATAACGGGTGATTTAGGCATTATTCAAAATGTTAAGCTACGAGAGTTTTTCATACAAGGTCCTAAATATCGTGAAACCCTGCCCATCAATTGGAACGTGAGTTTCAAGATACTTATAAACTCTGTTGAAAACTACGTCAGGGATTGGGTGAAACGAAAATATGCTGCGATGAGTTCACTTTCTGGATGGGTTTCGTCCATTTGGTCTAACATTCGTAAAAGAATGTTGGGCTTGAAATAGAAAATGAAAACCAAGCCTTTGTTTAAACTACATACTATTTATATGTCACAGCTGATTTGATATTGAAGGGCTTGGAGAAAGTTTTACGTTCGTCGTACTGATCTCATTGAGAATTCTATTTTTTTGTATGATATGAAGCTAGACTCGTTAGTTTGCCTGTTGGTTCTCTTCTGGAACACCTGGTCTTATTCTCCTTGCACTTTTTCAGAACTCTCCGTGGAAATCTTTCCTTTGTTCATATTTTGCCCTAGGTTTTTGAATTTGAGTTTGAATTATGATTCTGTTGCCAAGCTGGTATTTTCTTGATGTTTTTGCATCTTTAACCAGACGTATGTCATTCATCTAGACACTAAATGTATTTATGTTATGTTTAGTCTGTCCCTTATGATCTCTGACGAGGTCTGGAAGAACGAAACAGCTGTATGACGCAGTTAACTCATTATCTAACCTCACAGTATTTGTTCTAAATTTGTATTCAAATGTGTTATTGACTTGTGTGTGTTGCAAATCTTCTGTTTTATAGGTGGCAGACAATGCTGCTAGATTCGGTCCCCTAAGGCTTTCTAAAACGAACAATGGCAAGGTTCATAATACAAAAACGTACTTGACGTAATTTTAAAATAATTTGATATAAAAAATTATCATTTTCTTTTTTAGTTTTTAAATTAGTGAACCTAACTCCCTGTTCGCGTTTTGGCATTTCTTTCGACCGAATTCGATTTTAGGAATTCGCCTCCTAGGCCTGAGTAATTAAAGATAAGGTATTAACGTCATTCACTGCATATATGGGGTGTTAACAGAATAATAAAATGTTCGAACAGTTCCGGGGACATACCAACCACATTTCAATATAAAGTTCGAATAAGATACTTTACAGGCAAATGATTAATTAACCTCCATCATATAGATGTTTCGTCCTTATAGGAGGGCAAGTTAATGATGCTACAAGTCCGAATTTGATTAAACCTAACGGTAGACGATGAAAAAAAAAAAAAAAAAATCGGGCAAAATAGTCCGCCACCCTATAAATACATTTGACATCTGATGATAAAAAGTCACAATTAAGGAAAAGTTAAGAATTATATATCGTATTGGAAAATTTAACCGATAAATATAAAATTTTGCTACAAATGAATTCTTTGTCATTTTAAAGACATTATTTTCTAGCCCTGGAAATTATGTAGATTTTGTTTCTCCCCCTCCAAACACACACACACACACACACACACACACACACACACACACACACACACACACACACACACACACACACACACACACACACACACACACACACACATGGATGCGGTCATATATATATATATATATATATATATATGTATATATATATATATGACCGCATCCTAGAGCTTAAAAGTGCATCATAAATGGATTGTTTTGTGATAGAAAGTCACATGCAGAAAACAACTCCAATACAGTCCCAGCAACAGAACTATTTTCACCTTAATGTTTGATGAATGAACAATATCGGGCGAGTAATTGTCCAATAAACATGGGCCAGGAGGTAAATATTAGGTGTAATTACAGGTCTACTTACCAATACACCACGACTTGCTTTGACATCGTACCATTAACACTGACAGTGGTTGTTATATGCGAGCATTGGGAACCCCTAGCCTGGCGCGAAACAATATACTCTACTACCTACCTGATTTATCATTATTGAAATCACTTAAATTCTAGACTTTATTCTTGTATGTTGGGAATCAGCCCCTCTAACTTTGAAATTAAGAAAATGCAGATATTCTCAGTTTAGTAAATCTCGTAGGTTAATTATGAATCAAATGCATATTCGAATAAAGCCTTCATGTATGGTATGGTGTCGTTACAATACAAAGGTACAAGATAGTTCATATTCAATTGTAGTACTATTGAAAGCGAAATGGTAACATCAAGGACATTCAGAAAAGATAACGTGTATATGATATATGTATCTAGGTCACGGTAACGTTATTGAAATACTAATATAATATGTGTATCTAGGTCACGGTAACGTTATAGAAATACTAATATAATATATGTATCTAGGTCACGGTAACATTATAGGAATACTAATATAATATGTGTATCTAGGTCACGGTAACATTATAGAAATACTAATATAATATGTTTATCTAGGTCACGGTAACGTTATAGAAATACTAATATAATATGTGTATCTAGGTCACGATAACATTACAGAA